ATTTATAACAAAATAGTTTAAGAAAAATAAATATAACAGGCATGAACCAACGACAACCACTGAACTACATACTTCTGAATTGGGACAGTTACATAAAGAGCGGGGTGAAACGTGTTTATGCGCGCTCAACCCTACCCCTAACCTGATAACTTAATTTTGGCAAGATTTTTAACGTTACTCGTCATGGAAGTATCTCCATCTTACCTCAGTAAATATGCATCTTAATAAAAGACCACTATGGATTAAACACAAGTATGTAATCCAGGACTAAAATGTCTTTTTTGTTGTTGATAGATTTTTCTGTATATATACAGTTCATCTCTAACTACTAAAGAGTTTGCCGAAAACACCCCCAAAAGAAATGGTTAAAATTGTACTTCAAGAGGAATAACAGTTTCACTTCAACAATTTGAACGGATCAGCAAAGAGCTTGTAAAAAATAGGTTCCTGTTTACATTCGACTTTCTGTAATTACTTTTCTAATGAACGAAACAGATGAAGAAACTGTAGCCCAAACTGGATATGTCACACCTGTTTCTTATTTTGAGATTGTTAAGTTTTGTAGAGAAGACTTTCTTCACATTCTTAGAGCAGTTTCCTGGTTCAGTAGTCATGAACTGCTTATTTTCTCATTCATTTACATTCGATTTTGGCATAATTCTTTTTTTCCGAATATTTGAATAAAGAAAGGTAGGTAGTGCAGCTCTAGGAATTTCAACTGTTTAGTAGAGAATCTTGTTGATTTGTCAAAAATATATTGACGCATATTAAAGAGATCCAATATTTTCGTTTTTCCTGTTGATAATTCCAAACAAGAGGCTGTGTTGTGTTTTGTGTGGAATTGTTACCGGTAGTAAGTATACCGATACAGAGGTTGTCCTTTTATGGAGTGACTGTATTTTCCTTATTTAAATATCGAGAAGGAAGCTGGATAGAGACATTATTAAGGTGTTTACATGAAATATTCCAAGCCCGTATATACCATTTGAACTGTGAACGTCAGTCTTTGTGAGAGACTATAGACTTGTTTATCTGGTGTGGCCATCTGCGTGTATTCTGGATTACTTGCAATTGTTAGATGATCTTGTTAATCCTAAATGAGTGAGAACAAGATTATTTATTTTATTATACTTCATGTCAAAATGCCAGATTTTGATTGGTTAATACGAGGGTGACAATTTACTCTATCCCATGGCAAATACTCTATTACCCTTCACGGAGACGCTTGCTTAAGTGTGCGCTTTAATAAATACTGATGATTGTTATGTAAGACGTCATATTTTATTACTTCGAATTTGAAATTTAATAGACAGTAATAACAGAACATTCAGTATGATAAATTAAATAACACATATCTGAGAGGGTGATAGAGCAGATTGTTTCCCCTCGAAAAAAAACATTGTCAACTTTGGCTTCGCCTCAGTTGACAATGTTTTCTCTGGGTAACAATCTGCTCTATCACCCTCTCAGCTATGTGTTATTTATATAGTTTCCCATTTGAAATGCCTCGTCATCTTCAGGTTTTCATGGAGTTTTCACGTCTTTGTTATAGCTTTTTTATTTTGCGGATGGATGTAAAAAGGATGATATTTATGGTAGTTGTTGTTTTATATTCTTATTTTTTTCTTTCAACAGAGGATTGTTATCTCATGGTATGTTTGCAGCGTTATAGAGTCTGTTCTTATATTTCGTCTTTTAACACTAGAAGAAGCTTTGCTTTTGGAGCCATTTGATTAAATAATTATTTAAGATACCGCTGTATTAGTAGCTTTTTCTAATATTTTTATGACACACCTTAAATTATCACCTGTTGCAGTTTCAAGTGTTTGTATGTGTTGAAGATGTTTATTAAGTTCATTCACGTATAGGTTTGATTTTTGTCTTCCCATGTTAATGTATAGGCTACTGGGTTTTTCTTTGTTTCTATATCCTTATTCATTTTTAAATCAGATTTGCGCATATTTTACTGGTATATGCCTTGAGGTGTTGACAGAATCCTAGATGTATATGTTAGTTACTTGTTGAATGCCATTATTAAATAGAATGTTGTCTATTTGAGAGGTAGCTTTTCGGTATTTTTAGAAAATATGTTGGTTTCTTAATGATATTTTGCGTTTGCTTTAAGGAAACCGGTAGCAGTAATAATCTTTTGAATTATTATGCTTAGTAGTTTCTTGTCGATTTCAAGGACTCATTTAGATTTCCACAAAAGATTAAATACTCTGAACTAGTTTACATTGTTTAGGGATCAGCTGAAGCCCGCCTCTGGGTGCGGGATTTTGTCGGTGTGTTGAAGACCCATTGGTAGCCTTGGGCTGTTGTCTGCTCTTTGGTCGGGTTGTTGTCTCTTTGACGTTTCCATTCAATCTTATATAGTGTTATTGATCATATCTGCTCTGGATGTTAAAATTATGTCGAGGCATTCCTAGTTTTCTCCAATAGAGTGCGCGGCGTGTGTTGACATGAAGGCATTGATAAGGTATGAAGGTTTAGGGGCTGTCTTAACTTCTATTGTTGCAATTCTCTCATTCATTTTTGTCATTACATGGCTCCGTTCAAAACCCTAATACGATTCTGAGGTTGTCATCCCACTGACACTTGTTATGTCGTAAATTTCGATTGTCGGAGTGATTCGTAGCAGGCCTTTCAAGTCTTCTCTCAGCGAAATGACAATGTTGAAATCGTAGTGAATGATTAATTATAAAAAGTATTTCCCAAACATCTGAATAGTTTCAGTACTAGACGAGTTGTTTTCTATGCATAAAGGACAGACAAAAGGTTTAGCACTTATCTTATTTATGTGTTACTGACCTTTTGTCCAGCACAGAAGAAATGTTTTCATTCATCACTATGTTTGCACGCAACAGTACTTTCGCCTGCTATTTCTTTACACATAGAACAAATGTAGATGACATTTTGAGAGGTTTGCATATACACTCGATGCTGTTTTGTACTATTCTATGTCCATCTACTTAAGTAACATCTTTATGAGGCGAGATTCTACTCCATTTGTTTACTTCAATATGTTTCAAAGATCTTTCAATGTCATGTTAATAGTCAAGTTCTGGTCAATGTCTGAAATTAATTCCAGTAACATTGGCTTTCTCTCAAGTTGTAAGGTTTGGCATCATTGGTCAGGGTTTAAGATGTTGTGTTTAACAATAACTGTAAATGTGTGCTGGTTCCAGATTCAGTCAGTTCTATTTTTGTTGTACAGCCTAAATCTTGTCTCAACCATGGCTGAGGATTTGTCCACACCATTTTCAACAATTGCGAACTCATCCATGTTCGTTTCTATGTATGTTGGCGTTTGTTTTTGTTGCACTTCAGTGTTTCTGTTGTTCTGTTGTTTTCCTCTTATATTTCATGTGTTTCCCTCGGTTTTAGTTTGTAACCCGGATTTGTTTTCTCTCAATCGATTTATGACTTTTGAACAGCGGTATACTACTGTTGCCTTTATTCATCTCGAATTTGCAGTTTAGAAAGTATTTTGCCAACTCATATGAAGCAGAACTGAAGTTTATGCTGAGATTTTAATTTTTCTTGGTTACATTTTGTATTGTACGAGAGGTGGATTACAATCACTTCATTTTTTGCAATGGCCTTCTGTTAGGTTTCTGAGCTACAGCTATACCAACGAACTGCTGCTAAAGAGGTCGAGAGTATGGACTTAAGAAATCAAAGATCCTCCCGTTGCCATCTTATTTTACTTTTAAATTGTTTTCCTCGATAAGAATGGTGTAGCGTAAAAAGCTTGCTACTGAACAGAAAACGCTGAATTTTTGTTAGGTTCCTGAATTTAAATGAAGATTAGGGATTTGCATCAACAGTTTTTTACAATGTACATGGTTATGCGTGGAAAGCTGACGACTACCAAAAGAATGCAGGATTTTTGTTACTTTGCTATGTTTGAATGGATGTTGGAATTTATTGTATTAAATACAATTTGTATTATTCAATTGAATAGTGTGAAAATTTCCAATTAGTAACCCTAATTTATGGGAAACCCGATAGAAAGTGGGAAATGTTAATTTCTTAAAACTCTAAATTGTTAATGGTAATGTTAGACGTTGACCTTATATCAATTGTATCTCTCTAGTTGGTTATTTCACAGGTGCCAAGTCAGTTGTATATCCAAATATTACAGAAATACCTAATTGCTTTATTGATTGAGATATCTAAGACCATCCGCTGTAGTAGTCACGATTCATCCCACCATTGAATTTACGACTTCTTTGCGTGTACAAAAGGTACCTTTTGCCATCTGCATTATATTGGAGTATCTCGTTTAATACAAATATACCATTTGGAGTTGGCTGAGTGATTGAGAATAATTCTCAAAATAATACTGCTTCAAAGCAGGGCATTAATTTTGATGTTTTTGGACAATGGACTTCATTCAGTTTTACATCAAGTATGTATCCAGCATTAACCGTCCTATTGGAATTTTTTTTTAAAAGCAATTTGGTAAAACTTTTGGTCTTGAGCATACATGTTGAGAAATTTCATTACAACGAAAAGTGACATATGACTGATTAATTGACCACTGCTTAACACCCAGTGGTAATTATTGTATGCATATTCATGACAATAATATTTTACTGTGTTATGAACCCATCATCCTTTGTACCAGACCACATACTGATCCTGATTTAAAATGAAGCAGGTTTCAGGGTAACATTCTAAACAAGAACCTGTCATCCTACATGGACACATTATTCTGTCACTGAGCCAAACTGTCTTTGTTCCTGCTCTTTAATGCCAAGAGCTTGATATACAACAGCAAAAGTCAATTAAGTCTTTAACTGGGTCAAAAATTAGAACCAGAGACTCCTACACATAGTTGAAACGTGTTGTATGTACTGAAACCTGTATAAAAAAAATGTCTATCTCAGAATCATCATCGATTGTACAAATCAGGCATGTAGAACCTTCACAAAGTGTAAAGAATTTTACCAAGATCTGTCAGATTGCATAGTAAATATAGAATAAGACAAACAGATAGCACAAGCTTCATTTATTTTGTTGTTTAAATTAACATAGCTGCTTTCTGACAACACACTTCACACAGATGTAAATAAAAACAAATGTATCATTTAACATGGTGGTCAAATTCTACCCAATCATACAATGGACAGGGTTTTTCTGTTATAAAAAAATTAAATTCATGTTAACTACAAATATTTCAAATGCTATATTTTCCCATTATTTCTTCTTTTTGATGTGCTTCACTAAGAAACGAAAAAAAAATGTATTGTTGCATCTAACAGACATTTTTGGTTTCTTATTCTTTTTTTCTTTTAACATAAAATATTTTAAAGAAATTGTACTGAACCTAAAAAGGTGAACAGTCAACTCATCATCTGATTAGACAAATATGTCCATTTTCTTACATTTTACTACTTGACAAGGGTCATAGACAGTAATCATTTAAACAGTTAGTAAATATTGGTTTGATCATGGTTTTACCATTTCAAATGTGTCAAATGCCAAATATAGTTAAATGATAAATAAATTATTTTTTTCTAAATTCAAATTTTGTTTAAACACAAACTGTTGGTTAATCTAATGATTTGTAAGTTAACATAAAATATCTGTTCCATTTTTTGAGTAGAAAGCATAAAAAATAAATCAATGATAAAAATGTTCAGTCTTCAGGGCAAAACCAGAGATTTTTTCCAGATTTAAACCCTTCACATGTACCTTTTAAAAAAGTTAATAATAACAAACTCATTCAAAACAAACAAAACCATACTATTTATAGCATTGTTAACAAGTAGTCACATACATAAAATTCACACTTCTTTTTGTCCATCCAGCAGCTATGTTTTTATCTATAAAAACCATTTTAATTATGTAAAAAACAAAGAAGACGTACAATTATAAATAATCTGAATCTATGATACATAAAGTTAACAATTCATTCACTCCGTTAAAAGCATACACACAAATAACAACAATTTAACAATTTCTCCGTTCATTATTCTTGAGTTAAGTTTAACAATTTCAAAGATTTTAAAACCTAATGTTCTTCTATTTTCAGTTCTGTGGATATCTTCATAAAGAATTAATGACTTGTAAACTTTCTGCATTCAAATTCATATATTTTTCCAAATTTAACTTCGATCAAAATATTTCTGGAATGATGAAATAAACATTTTCCCTTTTATTACATCACTTATTTATGTTTATTTGCATGTATATGCTGAATAATACGTGAAATGTTAATGTGGCTGTTAGTTTTCAACATGTAAAAAATCATGCTGATGTACTTACAAATTAAACAATTTGACTTGTGTTGATAGCTAAAAAAGTTCTTATATTTCTTTACAATAAAGGATCCCTACAATAATATCAAGTCATGACAATATGATTTCAGTTCTTTAGATGCTTACAAAATAGCAGAATATTTTCATTATATGTTGGTTTTTCCCCATTTTCATCTTACACCTTAATGGACCAACCATTTAATTTGTAATTATAGAAAGATTTATGCACAAATTTTTTTAAACAATTAAGATATGACATCTGTGTGCAAAATTGTTTGCATACTTTTCAAATCATTACCATATTCAATACCTGATATGCAAAGTTAGACAGTTGTGAATCAAATGTGTGTCAAATTTTGGAAAATGTAATGGTGCCAAGTTCCATAGACATATAAACTCTTGTGTCACAACTGCAAACAGTTTTTTTGGTTTAATAATATTGTATTTCATTCATAATTTTGTTTATATAATTATTGTTTAAATTGCATGGAGGAAACTAGACTTAAAGAAAACCTAATTTGCATGGCTACACAAAAATCTACATTTAATTCATTTAGATACTTTTAAGTCAATTTATTTAAAGCAATGTTTTCATTCAGAGAACCTCATTAAAAAAGTAAATTTTGTAAAAAGAATTTTTTTTGGAGGCATATTCCTCCGTTTGATTATTCAAACTGTTTCAAAAGGAATGTGGACATCTTACACATACAGAAACAGAAGCTAATAGTTCATAAAATAGGCCAGTGGTAAATATCCATGCATATTTAGGAGTATAAACAAAAAAAGACCTATTGCAATTAAACTCATTGATTTCATATTCTAAGCTTCATATCATAAACAGTTTCACCACTGGTTAGTGATTTTCAAAATTCAAACCTCAGCAGATTTCTTATAACTAACATTGTCTTATAAACCATGAGTTAAAACTTTTACATCCAAACTAAAGCATGTTACTTTCATCTTTAAAATAATATTATGAATTATGGTCTACTTCCAGCACAATATCATCTAATCATAACCTTTCCTTTAACCACAAATCAACCAAGTAATAGTTTTATCCCTCAGTTATTTATTTAACAACATACCATTTATAGAACCTTTCTCATTATGGAGTGCTCTACATAAACACAGTTGTAATATAAGAAGTGCCTGTGCTTGAAATAAACGCTAAAAAATCAGATTACCAACACTTTTTTATCGTCTATTTTTGTCAAAACATTTCCCCATAAAGTCAAATTTCTGAAAGTCTTCTCTAATCACCTTAATAATAAATAAGTTCATTCCACTGAATTCATTTTAAAAGATTTTTTTAAATAAGAAAGGCCACATAGAGTATTTACATATTCTTTATAAAAATCATTAAAATTGATTTATGAATATTTGAAAAAATTTTAACAGTTCATTTATATCCCTCTACATTTAAAGCTCAAATTCACCTTAAATTTCATTGCATAATAAAAGTCTATTATTTCCTTATACCAACATTTAGCTTGTACTTTTGAGTTTATACATTTCATTTTAGAATCAATGTGCAACCATTCTTATGAAAGCTTTAACAAATGTGCAGACACACTAAAAACAACAGCCCTATGGTTCCATATAAAATATACTCTCAATGAATTTAAATGATGGAGGTAAATTGCTCTATGATTTATATTACAATTCTCAGATTTGTTTGTGTGATCATGATATTTAATGGTCACAACATATGAACAAAACATTCTTGAACACATTCCCTTGTGACCTGCTTTCATTCGGTATAAATTATGACATCAGACATAACCGTCCATTCGATACATGCATGTATTCCTGTTCATTTACTATGTTGGTTATCAACGCACAAACTTTTATAAACCAATTTAACTGTTATCTATTTTGCACTTGTATAAACATATCAATAAATGTATCCCAAATATTTTATCAACAAAGCAAACCACACTTAAAATAAGTTTTTCATTTTTGATTGCAATTTTCTGGCCATTTTAGGTCTTTTGTTATGATATTCATTTGACTTGCTTACATATGGTTTTTCTTTAAACTTTTAAAAACTGAAATTAATGCAATTTTCAATTTCCTCTTCAAAGTTACACTTGCCTCTGACATAGATTCATAGAATTTACATCACAAATGACAGTTTGGCTTTAATTCAAAAAGGAAAAAGACACAGGAAATAAAACTATTCTGAAAAGACTTTTGACAAAGTAGCTAGTTCAGATTTGTTCCTGCCATAAACATCAACGTTAGGAAAAAGGTTGAGAAAAATACAGAAAAAAAGCTATCCCTCAACCCTTCTTTGTGAAAATAGTTACCAACTACTTAAAATTTGCTACCAATAAATGTGTTTTGAATTCTTATTCTGTTTAAGAAGCTTTAAAAGAATCAAAAATAATTAACAGATAAATTACAACCACAGGAAGAGTTTACAGCTTGAAATACATTACAGATATTAAACAGATGTTTCTATCTATTAAGCGTTCTCTTTTGATAAATTACATATATATATAATTGATCCTAACATACAATTCTCATAATTAAATAAACATAAAGAACTTGCTATACTTGTTCTTCTAATTTCATACATACTATTCAATAGTACTATCAGTTTTAATGTACCACATGTTCAATTTTAAATACTTTTGTTCTTCATTCAATTCTGTTCTGTAATTTAACATGAAGACAATTTTTCAAATTCAAGGGAGAAAGACCATGCCAACTGAACATCTAACAGACTTTCAAGGTTTCTAACACATTGGATATTTTGCTAACTTATTCCATTTTATATGTTTTGAAAATAACAAAACTAAGAATTAAATATTCATATTTTTATATTTTTGGACTGCATTATTTTGGAAAAAAAACACAAGAATTTATTAATGTATTGAGTAATCGAAATGTATATTTGGTCAGGAGAAGTAAATTGTATCAATTAAGGGGAGATAAATAAAAACCATTATTACTGCAAACCAATCAGATTTTATACAGAATTTTGAAAACATACAAAGTTATTCCCACAATACTTTTTTCAAGAAAACAATAAATGTAAAAAAAAATCACCCAAAAGATTATCAATTTTGTACATAAAATTTATATTCATTCACCAAAAAAAACATTTTCCAGAATCTGTATATCAAATACTGTGGATTCATTATTATTCGTTGGATACCAATTTTCGTGGATTTCATGGGTACAGGTGAACCACGAAATTAAATGTTCAACGAATAATACATTTTCCATAGGCTTGTATGCAGATTTCGTCAAAACCACGAAATTAAATAACAACGAACATGTAAGTTTTCCTTTGTCCACGAAAATTGGTACCCACGAAAATAAATGAATCCACAGTATCATGGAAATATAAGCCACATTTAAAGAGAATGGTCTATAACTTACTTTAATACTGACTTTGTAGCCCTAACAGCTAATTTATGTCATCTTATTTGGATTGACTCTAGGTGTACACAGGTTGTCTGCAGGACTAGGTTTTATTTCTCACAATAATTAGGTATGCATTATGCAACCTGATATAGCAAATTCTATTTCCGACTTTATAAAATATGGCTCATCTATTTTATAGACAAATGTTATAAGGGTAAAATTTTGAGTTCTGTAGGCATAGTTCAATTTTGAAAAATATACAAATGAAATTCTATCCAAGCTTCTAAAGGCTCTTCTATTCTTACTGATATCTAACCAATTCACTTTCTGTTACTCCATTTCAATACAAAAATACCATACTACTTATAACATACGAGTGTGATAAAATGATAGAATGATAAATAATTAAAATGACTATTAAAGTCTGGTGGTTACATCTTTTTTAACAATTAAAACATCTATCACAATTCCATGAATTTGAATTTTTTACATAATGAACATGAACAAACATTCTAGTCTAGATATATTCCTCAATATTTTTTTCTAATTGCAAACACCACATCTATATAGTTTTATTTTACAAATATTCAATAATACACATCTAAATAGTTTTTATTCAACACCAAAAATATATATATGTATACTCAGCTAATGTTAGACAATGGTACAGGGATATTCCAGGATTAATATTTCAAGGGTTTAAGAGGCACTTCTTAAATAAAAAATTTTATCAAAATAATTTAATAAAAAACTGAAGTGCTTTTTTAAAGGATTTTCTTTCTTTATCTTATGCAAACTATCATTATTTCCATAGTGTCTTTATCACTAAATAAAATGATCCTGAAATAAACCTCAATGTTTTAATTAAAGTATGAATCTGAAGGCAAATTTTCAATTCTTATTTAAAAAGGAATACAAGCAAATAATTTGCAAGGAAATTGTAAAAATAGAAATAATCTTTAATATAAAATAACCAAATAAGTTTTGTTTCCCAAAATCATTATCTAAATATCGATAAATGAAATTTAAAGTCTATTTTTGCAAATGGTATCCCACATTTGTCAAAGGTAGTGCCTTTTTTTCAATCTCTATATTTTGTATTAAAGGAAAAGGTATCATAAAAAACCACTTATATTTGTTACATCTGTTAAAAAAAAATAACTTAAAGGTATATTTTCAGCTTCTTTTGTACAATTTAAAACAGATATTGATCCCTTCAATTTTCTACATCTTCTCTGTGCTATTCATACATTTAGTTTTAATCTAATTAATTTACGGATTTATTCTACAAACATACACTTGTTTTAAATTTACTGCAAAATAAAAATATTTCTAATTTTAAAGAATATCGAGCAAAAAAGTGTAACGTTGTAGTTGCTTTTGCAGGTGTATATATTACCATAGCTGTCATTTCTCTCTACTAGACACAATGTTAATCTCAAAATGCTGTCCGTTACATGATTACTTTAAATATTTTTTTTCAATAAGCAATGAAATAATATAAATTCAATAAAATCACCACCTAGGCATACCTGATGTTTTTTTTTAATAAATCTAATGCTGACAAAATTGTATGATACAATGTTCAGTTATGACATTTATATAAAAGGTGTTTATTCAGTGTAAGCTTACAAAAACAAAAAATAAAACAAATAATTCCACTTTCAAACAATCAGACAAAAGCAAACCAATCAAAACTTGTTAATATATACCTCGGAATATAAATCACCTAAATGTCTGGTGTATTTCATTTTGCCATGGAAGTGTTAAATTGACATAAATAATACTTCCATGATTTTACCCTGTACAATATAATCAATTTTTGTGTGCTGGGGGTAGAAATAAAATGTCTCCTGCTAGCCGATTTTATGCAGGGAAAGCTTAACCCAAATTCAACTTGCCAGCATGGCCACTGAATTTCAATTAAATACATGTACGCACTATTTACAGAGCAAGTCAATTTAGAAAGGAACTTGCTTGCTTGACCAGTTGGACATTACTTTTTATATCTACTCCTGTGTAACAGTAGCCAATGTTTTGCACATACAATGACATTGTTATTCTTATATTGGTGAATATCATCCTTTGTAAAGCATTATTTACACTAAAAGGCTATGTTTTTCTACTGCAGACAATATTCAGAACTATTAATGCAATAACCATTTATAATTTTGTTTTTTCATAGTTTCAACTTCAATGCATTTTTTTTATATGTAAATCAAACTTATTTTTGCCAAAAAAATGAAAACCTGTTCTTGATCAGTTGGTTGATGGTCAAGATGCCAATCAATTTAATTTGCTTACAAATAAACCCCATTATTTTATTAATCTTTTCGTAATATTGTATAAAAACAAACATGGTAAATATGGCATCTCTTACATATAGTTTACTTACATCTATTTGACTTTCTTGAAAAAATTAACAAACCCCCATTAAAACTGACATATAATGAAATTACTATATTAAAGCATAATTTCAATTGTCAAAAAAGGGAAAAGAACAGAAAAATTTTCATTACAGAAGATAAATGTACTAATGAATATTACTTGCCAGACATTTAGATGACTTATTTTCAAAGGGTGATAACTCAATTTACAATAAACAATGATTAAAAAGCACTAGTTTTGTGAAAGCAGAAGTCATACTGTCGAGATTTAAAATCAGACAAAAAATCATCTAGTACCTTGATCCAGGGCTTACAATTGTACTTAAAAAATATACATAATTTATAATAAAATCCTTGTATCCAACACACTAACCACATATCAATTGACAAACATTTTACCCTACCATTTTTTATGAAAATGTGAAAAAAAAATTCACAATATAATGAACTGTACACGTTTCTATCTATACTTGTTTGATTATCAGGATGTTTAATTTTTGTATCTTATAAGTCTAGATGCTGTATACTAACAATTTTCCAACAACTAACTGCATTTAATGTTTTCTTCAAATTTTCTCAAATCAAACATTTAATAATCAATGGCACTGGGAGTCTTACTTAAAGTCAAGAGGCAAAGAAAAGAGAGAAAAAAAGAAGAAATGATACAGGGGATGATTTGGTCAATTTTGGCAGTGTTCTTCAGCAGGGTTATTGTATTTGTCAATAGATTTTGGTTATCTAAATTAACTTTCATGATAAAAATTTTCTCAATCACACCACATATCTGTACATACAATCAGTTCCATGCGCCACCTGGCTTACTTTGGGGTGTGCCCCACCCACCCACACCTGGACTGCTGCCTGGTTCACTCCCCTGAGAGCTGCCCCAACCAAGAAAGCTGTTTGCACTAACAGGAACACCGGTTGCTGCTGTACCTTGACTGTTACTTCCTATACTCCCAAAGCTCTGTACACTGGTCTGACTGGAAGAATCACCACCACCTGGTTGTGTTGTGCCGATTGGTGTTCCTCCCACACCAGGCGTGGCACCAGTTTGACTAACAAGTCCAACTGGTCCCCATCCACCTTGCCCACTCAACATGGCCTGGGCAGCTGCTAGCATTGCAGGGTTCAATTGGAAAGCTCCTAAACTGAGGTTACTTAGTCCTAGATTGTTTGGTATGTTCCCTGCAGGTATGGGACTAGGCTGTGTGGCAATAGCCTGGGTTCCTCCCCGTCCTCCCTGACTCCAGTGATTTGGGTTGTAGCCATGGCTGTAAGCTGGCTGGTTGATTACTTTCTTGTCATTTTGACGATCATAGTTCTTCGGTGCAGCACTACTTATGTGTACACTTGCCCCCTTTATGATGTGATCTTCTCCACAAAGGCTTTGTGAGACTTCAGGGTCTGCAAATGTTACAAAGGCAAATGCTCTGAATGGCTTGGGTATGAATACATCAACTACTTCCCCATATTTAGAAAAATAGTGACGTAAATCTTCAGCTGTCATGTCATCTGTACATCTTCCCACAAAAACTTTTCTGTTCATCATTTGTTGGGCATTTTCCTGAAATTACAGTAAAATTTTCTTAGATCTGTAAAAATTCTGACATCCCAACTCTTCGGATCAGCTTAATCCTAAATTGAAACATGCTATGTAAGATGTTATCAAAGTTTTATGAACTTTAATTGGAACATGAAACCCCCTGATTTTTATTGCATATGTATTTCTGATGTATTGCATATTTTGAGTTTTTTTCTCTTGCTGATCTGTTTTAATTACCATGCTGCACATACAGGGCCTTTCAGTATTTTTATATATAGGGTGCTTTATAAATTTTCATTTTCATCATCATTTCTGTTCAGGAAGCGAGAAGATACTAGTGAACTTGATAGTAAAATACTTAAAATATCAAGATGTTCACTTGTGATAGGTCTGTAGAACATAACTCATTCGCTGTATATTATAGAATATTACAAGACTTTTTACCGTACTTAAGGCATATTAACTGAGAGATAAGTATGACTAGAGACAATAACATACCAATAAATGCTTTACACTATCATTGTATGAAGAAAATTATACAACAACAGTTTTGAAGGCCAACATAATTGAGTAATATTTTTTAAATGTTTATTATCTCCCCTTCCCAGATTTGTTGCATCATATTATGATGAAATAGACATATAAACTCTAGATTAAAAAATATTGTTTCCATTTAAGTTTCTAGAGTTCCTATCCCATTTCTGCAACTGTTATAAGTTAAATCCTGCTTCTTATTCAAGCAAACCGCTCTTTTTAAATTGTACTTATATATTATACCTAAATAAAAATAAGGCTCGCCAATTGCAAGCCCCGAGTTCTTTCTAAGATGATTTTGTTATTGACGTACTCAGCTATATGTTTTTTACTCCGATCTTATCAGAAATCAATTCAAAAGTTTAGATATAAAAATTTGGTTTGACATGGTGCTTTTAGATATTATGAAAAGTGGTTTATCAAAATTTCATTTATGCCAGGATGTTATATGAAAATTTCAGAGGAAATAATTGAGCTCACTTGTATTTATTTTCATCTGAAATTTGCAGAAAGACACATCATCTGATGTAAGTTTATCATTTATTTGTATGTTATAAACCAGCAGCTCTAGTTTCTATCAAGTACACAAATTCACCCTTATACAAATTAATTTCTAATGTTGAAGGACAATCTTCTGCTTTTCATTAAAATAGTCATACAATTTTCAGAATTCAAATGAAAATCTTTTTAAGGTATATTTTTTGTGTAAGTAGCAATCTTTGTCCAACATTATAAGAAGGGGAGATAATAAACAAATTAATACAAAATAGGAAATTTCTTGACACATTCAAGTTTTTCCTTTCTTTTCCTTTCATTTGACATCAAAAGGCCTAATGCCTTTGCTCAATTGTTTTTTTCTTTAAATCAAAATAGCATAATTTTTTTTCTGAGGATTTTATGTGTTATATGTGTATATACATGTAGCATGAAAGTCAATTATGGTAGCTACAAGTTTACATCAGCTAATTTTTCCTTTATTTCAATTTATTTTATCCATTGTCAATGTTGGTTGTTGTCACAAATCCCAAAACCCAACCAAAACATTCAAGTAAAATGATTTATTTATACATTTATGTTGAATTCTTAGTGTTGAATTTGTGTCACAAATGCTAACTTACATTAAGATGTCAGTTATTTAAGTGATCAAACTAAACCAAAATTAACTAGATTTGATCAATAGAACTAACAATTGTTTATCTTATATCTTGAATATACATGTAACACCAACATTTTGATATATTTTTACATTATTTAACACTGAAATTAGTAAACGTGTTGTTTTCAATTTTATATGAATTTGGTTAAATATACTTACCAGGATTTACTATTATAAATATAAAATATGTTCTGCGTTTTAGTATGTTGCCAATCGCAAAAACATCGAGGAGACCGAGATCTTTAAACATCCGGTATGTTATGAAATCTACTCACTCGATTCAAGGTAAGTTCAGTTTTATTTTTTGCGTTCAATTGAACGGATGTTCTCATCGTAATTTAATATATAACTAGTATAACTTGTCAAAGTTTTATAATTACATCGATTTTCAACTATATGGACCGGTCTTCTTTGTACGAAGACACGCAGGAAAGTATTACTATAAAACCTGTTTCACCAAAGTCTGCAAGCACAAGCAAAGAGCCGCTGAAAACAACAGGTAAAAAGAAAAAGGTGTCAAAATCGGAAAAAATGCAGTCCGAATATGACAGAAAACTCCAAAGTATGGAGGAGAACTTTAATTGCAAGTTAGACAAACTTTTTGGTTTGTTAGCATCAAACAATCAGAAAAGGGAATCATTGCTCAGATCTGATTGTGTGAATATGGGTAACCTCCCGTCTGGGGAGAGTAGGCCATTAATTTCACTAGAACCAAACTTGGACCTAAATCTGGGGTCGCCAAGAGTTTCTAGAAACCAAGATTTTGATAATAGATCAGAGATATCTATACATGTACACCAAACTGAAAGGCATGATTTAGATATGAGATCAGATTATGATAGTGGGTCTGGAGGTAGTCCAGTTAGACAACCCAATGATGAATTTATTTTACAAAATGACAATGTAAATAATCGTAAATGTGAACGATTTATTAATCATGTGCAAAACTCAAATGAAGGTTTTCCCCTGAATGAGAATGTTGAGTCTGAACAAGGGCAGGCAGTCAATAAGAATGTTAACTTTTTAGCCAAAATATTTAAAGAAGATATTGCTAAAGACAAATCTAGTCTTGGATTAGTGTTAGACCAGGCACAGGTACATATATTGGAAAATTCCTGGCGTTCTAAAAACCCAGAAAGAATTTCTGCTTACAAAGAGGAATACAAGAATGTTTCCCCTATTCATGATAGTTCGGTCGAATTTTTGCAAGTTGCAAAATTAGACGACTTACTTGAACCCATGTTGAGACAGACACATGGTGAAAAGGCTGTAAAATCTTGGGACAATCACAGGCAACTGTATTCACAACCACTCAAACAGATAGAGAAATTGGGTTTTCAGGGGCAATTAAGTGCAAGAATGAACATTATTTCTGTTCTCTATATGCAACAAGCTCTAGGTTCACTTTTACAAACTCTTGAGAGTGATGATTTTGAGAAAGATGAAGTTTGTCAAACTATTAAAGATGTTTTTGCCATGTCGACTAAAACACTTGACCAAGCAGGCCGTACAGGTGCCTTTTTACATTTGGTCCGTAGGCAAGCTGCAGCTCAGGATTCAGGCTTAACAGGGTTGAAAGATATGAGCAGTAAATGCCAATATCTACCGCTTACAAATGATGGGGTATTTGGCAAAGGGCTTGAAATAGCTTTGGAAAAGCGCAAAGAGCAAAAAGAACAACTCTCTGATCTTTTACCAGAATTCAGTAGAAAGAGAAAGTTTGAAAATAATGCTCGTGAAAAGGGAAACAATAAGGTTTCCAGGTATTCTAGTGTGTCAGGTGGGCAAAACATTAAGAACAATAATAATGTGAAATCAAATTCTAATGCTACTAGTACATTTCCCAACTATAGGAAACCTGCACAGAATTTTCAGAAAGACAAGACAGCATCAGCACCTAGACAGAGTGGACAAGATGCAAACAAGACCGGCTTTAAGTCTGGCAAGAGTGCTACACAGTCCTCATGGGGTTCTTTTCTGATCCCCAAGAGAAAGGATAGCTGACTCAGAAGTAAGTTTTTTAATGTTTCCAGAGATACCTGTAGGGGGTCGATTACAAAAATTCCTTCAAAATTGGGAGAAAATAACATCAGATCAGTGGGTTCTCTCAATTGTAAAAGAGGGATACAAACTAGAATTCATTCAAAAACCTCTTTGGACGGGGATAAGAAAGACATTTGTACAAAAAGACCATCTAGGTATTTTTATGCAAGAAATAAATGCTTTATTGGAAAAAGACGTAATAGAAAAGGTTCATTTTCCACATTATGTAAAAGGTTTTTACAGCACGTTATTTCTAGTCCCAAAGAAAAATGGGAAGTTAAGAATGGTGACAAATTTAAAACCCCTAAACAGTTATCTCAAGAAAATTCATTTCAGAATGGACACTATGCCAAAAGTAATAAATTTAGTGAAACCAAACGATTGGGCAATATCTCTCGATCTATCGGATGCATATTTTCACGTCCCAATTTATCAATTTCACAGACAATACATGAGGTTCTGTGTTCAAAACCAATGTTATCGATGGAAAGCAATGTGTTTTGGTCCAACTTGTGCACCACAAATTTTCACAAAAATTGTATCAGTGGTGGCAGCATATCTCAGAGCTCAGAATGTGAGAATGGTGGTATATTTGGACGATTGGATGATAATCAATCAAGAGAAAATTCAATTATTAAAAGATCGAGAGAAATGTCTCAATCTGATAGTCTCACTAGGTTTCATAATAAACAAAGAGAAATCAAGTTTAATTCCAAGTCAATCAGTGACTTACCTAGGGGGAGTTTTTTCATCTACAAAAGGGAATAGTAGTTCCTACATTAGAGAGAATTCAAAAATTACAAATGTTAATTCAGAACATGCAGAATTGGAAGACAATAGCTTTCGATTTTCTTCGGATTCTTGGTGTGATGGCATCATGTATAGAGTTGATTCCAAATGCACGTCTATACATGAGACCAATACAATTACACCTTTTAAGTTTTTGGAATCCAATTTGCAGAGATATGACATTGGAAATTCCATTTACTCAAAATCTAAAATACCATCTATTATGGTGGACAAATTCAGTGAACACGCTGAAAGGCCGATCTTTAGTATCTCCAATATCCACTGTTACAGTCACGACAGATGCTTCCAAAAGTGGTTTTGGGGGTTATGTTGGGAATCAATTATTCCAAGGGGAATGGAGTCCACAACAGAAAGAGTGGCATATAAATTGCTTAGAAATGAAAGCAGTTTACTTGACAATGAAACATTTCATGAGTCTGTTAGAGAACAAGTGTGTTCTCATCAGAAGCGACAATACAAGTGTTGTCCAATATATCAATTGCCAGGGAGGGACAAAATCAACCAGTCTTTGTCTTTTAACTTGGGAATTATGGCAGATGGACATTCAGAACAAGATAGTTTTGAAGGCAGCACATATAATGGGCAAGAAAAATGTGTTGGCAGATCAATTAAGTCGAATAAAAATACGACAAACAGAATGGACATTGAACAAGACAATTGTCAATCAAATATTTCATCATTGGGGTACTCCAGTGATAGATCTATTTGCGTCCTGGGAGAACAGACAGACAGAGGTTTTCTGTACATGGATTCCTCATCCCAATGCACTAGCTTTGGATGCATTAACAATTCCATGGGAGAACATGTTTGCCTATGTGTTCCCTCCAATTTGTCTGATTCCGAAGATATTAAGATATATGAGGCAGTTCCATTGTCAGATTATCTTAATAGCACCTCAGTGGCTAAGGAGACAATGGTATCCGGACATTCTAGTTATTGATAGCTCCTCCTATCAGAATTCCACAATGGGAGAATTTATTGACTCAGCCCAAAACCCAAATTTGCCATCCAATTCTCAAATGTTGAATTTAACTGCATGGCTCCTCTCGACAGAAACTTCAAAGCAGAAGGATTTTCTGAATCGGCTAGAAACTTGCTCAATGCATCTTGCGTGTCTTGGCGAAAGGGTACAAGAAAAGACTATATTACAAAATTCGAAAAGTACAATAGCTGGTGTGGTGAGAAACAAATTAATCCCTATAAAGCTACTTTAAATCAGGTTGCTGATTTTTTGGCTTATCTGTTTGAATTAGGTCTGCAGTACAGAACAATATCTGGGTATCGCTCTATGTTATCAGCGGTGTTACCACCAATTGAAAATTATCAGGTTGTCAACATCCTTATATTTCAAGGCTGATAAAAGGAGTTTTTCATTCTAGGCCTCCAAAGGTTAATTTATTACCTGAATGGGATTTAGAGATGGTTCTCAAAACTTTAGAGAATGAACCTTTTGAACCTTTATCTGATGCATCTTTAAAGTTTGTTACTTTTAAAACAGTTTTTCTCATTGCTATAACAACTTTTAGAAGATGCAGTGATATACAAAGTCTTAGAATTGATAAAGAGTCTATGAGGGTTCAGGACAAAGGTATAACTTTCATTAGACATGGACTTTCAAAACAAGATAGGCAAAGTCATTTTGGAACAAAAATTCATGTACCTCATTTCGCAGAAAGAGAGTTTTTAGATCCAAAAAGGCCAATAACTATTTATTTGGATAAAACCAAGGAAATAAGACAGAAGTTAGATGCATCTGACAAAGTCAAATTATTTTTAGCAATGAAAGAACCTCATAAACCTGTAACAGCAGTGACAATTTCTAGTTGGATTGTCCAAACAATCAGGTCTGCTTATTCAAATGACAAATTAAAGGTCAAAGGTCATTCAACAAGAGCAATTGCTCCTAGTTGGGCTTTATATAAGGGAGCTTCTACAAAATCAATTTTAGATGCGGCAGATTGGTCATCTGAATCAACTTTTGTAAGATTCTATTTACGAGATATAGATTCTGACAAAGTATTACAAAAGACTTGTTAATAGAACATATACCACAAAGAAATTATTGTATATAAAGATAAAAAAAGTTTTACATAATTTAATTTTATAAAATTGATATGATATTGATACAATTTTATTTATGGACAAATGTATATAGTGCATGTATACAAAGTATTACATAATGTTTATTATATAAATTTTTCAGGATGATGACTAGTAGTATCCTGTAAATAGTTATTTTGTTTTTGGTGGAAGTTTTTTATTGGGCGACAGTATTTTACATTTTAATGGAACTGTATTTTGGTGTGTTTTCTTCTGAGGAATATTTCTTCATATCCAAGAAATTTATCCGCCACCTGCTAAGCACTGCTTGTTAATCAGTGAGTATTCTATATTTATAATAGTAAATCATGGTAAGTATATTTAACCAAATTCATATAAAATGGTAATTTTTGTAATCTCAAGAAGAGATTTTATATGAATTTATAGGGTTAAATATACTTACCAGGAACCACCACCACCCCGATATAAATTTCTTTTTGGTGTATATTGGTTATCCAATTAAACGCCAAATAAAACTGAACTTACCTTGAATCGAGTGAGTAGATTTCATAACATACCGGATGTTTAAAGATCTCGGTCTCCTCGATGTTTTTGCGATTGGGAACATACTAAAACGTGGAACGTATTCTATATCTATAATAGTAAATCCTGGTAAGTATATTTAACCCTATAAATTCATATAAAATCTCTTCTTGAGATTTCAAAAATTACCATTTTTTTCAGCATGATATGCCATTATTGTTCTTTATACATGTGTAAATGCATGTTACCTTAGAGTTGGGTATTCTAACATCACACCATCGTCCATCAATCATATGCCTCTGTGTCATACATTTCACTTGTGATTCATAGTCACCAAACCGAATGAAACCAAAGCCTTTTGATAGTCCACTTTTAGGATCTTTTTTCACCTGAATAAAAAAATATAAATAGATTTATACACTTGAAACTTAAAAATTAAGAATTCTGAATTCCAAAACTCACCAACTGTTCACAGCCCATAAACAGTTGCTCTTGTCCAGTCAACATTGTCTCTGGATATATTGTGTATACAAAAAAGTTCCCAAGTGTTTGGTTCTCAAGGCATATCATCTGTATGTTTGAAGGTGCTCCAACTGTAGGAGGACCATAATCACAGCATTTTAACATACAGATATATAACATGGCAAAGGAAAAAATTATTCAAATGATTTCCTCATTAACTATTTTACAGTTTGTGATGTTGCTGTTTAATAATTTAACTGATTAAAGAGATATTTCTGTTGTTGATTATATCTTTTTTAGTTTATGACATCACCATGATGATTTTGATCATCACTTTAACATGCTTACCCAAACTCCCAAATGGGATAAAATATAAATTAACTTTGCTTTTTTCAATTTTTTTATTATGGGGAAAATATTAAAAAGGGCAATTAATCAGTTTTAAGGATGTTCGCTCCTCATGTTTTTGATATTTTGCCAGATATTCGGAATCCTCTGGTTTTATCCATGTAGTACCATTTTAAATTTCTCCCACTAACCTCAACTTTTCTTTTCATAATTTTATTTTATATAGTTTAAAAAGCCATATTTGAAAATGCTATAAAATCCTAGTTATTTTTTCATAATTTTCGAAAGAAAAAGGGTGCCAATGTAAAATGTATGAAAAATCTAGAGAGAATTATTTCCCGCCAAATTTTCAATGGCTTATATCTCGAAAACAAGCACACGGACCATTCATTTTTTTCTGCTTTTTTAGTTCCTTTATTTATATAATATCAATTTATAACAGTCTTTTAAAAAGCTTGTTATTTTGAAACAGAGTAGCGAACATCCTTAATATTCCCAAAAATGATATTAAAAAAAAAGGCAAAAGAAATCTGTACATCCCATTTGAATATGTTAAGTGCATTTAAAATTTCACCCACTGACATTTTCACTCAAATAAATTATCCAAATTTAACCATTCACACATGATTAATTGCAAAAACTAGTCAAAACAATGTGCATTGTATAGTGTTAAATAATTCTTGTTTTGGGGGAAGCTTGCATGTTTTTTGCATCCATTGTGTTCTACAATGCACATGTACGTCCAATAATTTGGAATGCTTGATACAGTAAACAGTGTATATATTTTGCTGTCTGCAGTCTGTAGATGGGAAAAGTTATAGATTGTTCATGCTTTTAAAGATACATAGAAATCAAAAGTTATCTCCCTTGTTCCAAGAAGCTTTATCAATGTGGAAATGAACTGTACCAAACTTTTTAAGATAACCTTAAAGACGATTTGGACCACATGGATGGAATTTTCTTACTAGCTTAGTCCACATTGGTATTCATGTCTACATGCTAGGGCGAGTGACACAGAATATATGTACTGCAAATGTTTCACTGGATAACTTGTTCATGCTTTTTAATGTCTTGACATCATAAACACATGTGTAATCTACAGGTAATATAATTCAAAATGATAAAATCTATACTTATCATGTAAGCTACATTTGTACATTAAGTAAATATGTACATTATCAGAAAATATAAAAGTCATTCCTTTGAGCTTTATAAACAGGATGAAAAGCCAAGCTCTCCAATGCAAGCTTTTCTCCTGTTTCATAGCAAGTACAAATATATCAAATATTTTCTGAAAATATACATGTACATATATATGTATTGTTTTATCCTGAAATTAAATCTTTACCCTTTAATTTGTTTATAAATGTTTAGGAACATGCAACTTGGTTTAATTTGTACTTTCATATTTGCAACATATCCAAATATAAGGACTTATAATATTTGAGAGATAGGCTGTGCTGACCTGTTTGTTTCAGATGATGTAGTTAATCCTTTAATTTACAATTCATACTTTTTTAAACAATTACTCTATCATAAGCAAGATACAAACAACTGTTTGAAATTGACAGGTCGACCTAGTATTATGTTCCAAATAAATTGCTTTGCTGAGCGCAGCTGGATACGACCGCAGATGTCCAACCCTGAAAAGTTGGGGCCAAAATAGACACAACATTCACGCTTATTACAGGTCTGAATTTGGATTGTAATTAAATTTTTGACACATAATAGGTTTCTGACACAGAATAACTGTAGTCAAAGAACTTCAAATTGGTTATATGATTTGAATTTATATTCAATTTTTTGCTTTCGTGCAATACACTATGCGAATTGACCCCCCCCCAAAAAAAAAAAATTTTACCCTGTTTTTTTGCGTTTGTGCAATACACTATGCTGTTGAATATTAACCCCTCAAAAAAAAATATTTGAAGAAATTTTCTTTTAATTTCTGAAATCTGAAATGAGAAAAATTGTCCTCCTCCAATTTTTTTCACCTCCCCCTTTCCCTTATTCAAAAAAATAATTCTTTCCCTCAAGTTATGGTCAGTATCTCAGTCAATCATCATTTCTTAATACATAATTTACAAGCAGTGTAAGGGAGGTAATCAAACATTGTTATTTAAATTGATTTGGATTTTGATTTGGATTACCTCCCTTACACTGCTTTTAAATTGTCTCAATTGTACTTCAACCAGAAAAACCCTTGTTTTCCCCTTTTTTTTGCCCCTAATTCCTAAATGGTTTGAGCCATTACTCCCCAAAGTCAATCCTAACCATCCCTTTGTAGTATGGAAACTTGTGGTATAATTTTAGAGAGATTCATACACTTCAACACAAGTTATTGTCTGGAAACTACAAAAATGCTTATTTGGGCCCCTTTTTTGGCTCCTAATTCCTAAACAGTTTGGACCATAACCCCCAAAATCAATCCCAACCTGCCTTTAGTGGTTATAAACCTTGTGTTAAAATTTTATTGATTTCTATTTACTTAAATTAAGTTATTATCCGGAAACCATCTGTCTTCGGACGACGCTGACGACGACAACGTGATACCAATATACAACAAAAAATTTTTTAATATTTTCGGTCATATAAAAAAAGTTTCAACCCTGAATGTACAAACCTGCACCATTAACAGTTCACCAAAATTTGAAAAATATTTTCTCAGGTCTTCTTCTGTACTTTTCCATGGTAAGCCAAGGACAATTAGGTCACTGCATCTCTTTTTGTCATACATTTTCTTCCTGTTAATGACAGCATTATCTGCATTGATTGGTTCTTGGTCTACAGCTGTGGCATGGGCTTTCTTTTTGTTTTCAGCTGAAAATACATGAAAAGGTACATGCAATTTTTCCTTGCAACACCCCCCTACGGATATTTGTAAAAAAAATTGTTGCAATGACTATTTGGGCAATCTCATGTCATATGGCACAGGGAATAAACATCTCAATTTTGACAAAACAATACAGTCCACACTACCAAAGAGATACATTTCTATACATGTATGTGTCTTAAAGTCATGTAGAAGCAGTCCATGTATTTTAATCACTCCAATTCCCACTGATTGGTTTTGAGTTACATGTATTTATTTTAATCAAATCTTCTTAACTGGGCCAGACTATTTTTTACTGGTTATTTGGTCCAGTAATGCATATCCCTTACAAAATGTAACTCGGCCAAATCATTTTTTACTGGCCTTCATCAAATGTCCAGCGACTTTGGGAATGACTGTTAAATAATAATGATTATTATGTCTCAATACATGTATCTACATTTTGTGTGATTCAATACTTATTATAACTTATCACTGCATACATGACATATGCATGTTTGTATTACTCAAGTAATTTTAATTTGTGTAAATGTTTTCAAGTATAATTAAACAATCAGAATTCAATTTGATAATTTATTATATGATTATTACAACTAAATTTATCTATTTCAAAAGTATTTCTTATTCAGTAAGTTATAAAGTTGCAGGATGAGGTTTCCACATATCTTTTTTAATAGCATGCCAATAAGCATGATGTCTTGTACAAAATGAGTCAATGCTTTTTTAACCTAACAAACGTGACAAAGTATAAGCTGCAATGTTTTTTACAAAATTCCAAATATATACATGTAAATATTGTGTAATTTAACACACATTTTATGTACAATAAACATGTGTATTATATTCTTTGTATTCTATATCATGTACATTTGTATATGTAATTCTCTGTGATTATTTGAAATGTAATGTAGATGTACACAGAGTATGCACCTTGTGTGGATTGAAAGCAAGTTTTGTCAGTGTTTTATATCAAAAAAAAAATGTGGTATCAATGCCAAAGAGACAACTGTCCACCAGAGACCAAATGACATAGAAGTTAACAACTATAGGTCACCATACAGCCTTCAACAATGACCAAAACCCATACCGCATAGTCATGATAGTCAGATATAAAAGGCCGCAAAATGACAAATGTAAAACAGTTCAAACAAGATAAGTAACAGCCTGATTTATGTACAAACCAATGAACAAAAAACAAACATGATATACAGCCTTTGATAAATCAAATTAAGTTCATATTTAAATATTAAGAAAAAATGTATAAACTGTACATTTCTGTGAAACTGCTATTTGTTAACACTGAAAATCTGCCTTAACAAAAACTTGAGAAAAGTTAATAATCATTTTCATAAGTGTAAACTTTTACTTCTAAAATTACTTTTTTTCAAGTGACTTCATTATGTTATGGTGTCATGTTATGATTTTAAAGCAAAACTTAAATAAGCGACCCTGAAGTCATCTTTTGAAGTAGTCAGCTCAGGAAGTCTTCCTTTCAAAATTTTGAATTAATAAATTTGTAATAAACAAAAATGCTAAAGAGAAATAGATTGAAATATTTAAAAGCAAAACGTCAACAATACAGTTATCTCCCTTAGCTGTCAAACAGAAAGTTTTAAACGACCTTCAATATTTCACAAAAAGCAGCATATTAAGTGATACTGTAACAAAAACCACCTATGCAGTTATGTGCAATGATAATTACTGCATCATACTGCATAAATAATTAATCAAAATTCTGTCAAAAAATCGAAAAATTAAATGATTTTGTCGAAGCGTCTGCTTGCTGTTCGGAGGCCAACTGGGTTCCAGTTCGTAAACAATATTTGAAAACACTTACATTTTGGAAACACGGCAACATAAATCCTGTTAGCCCATTCCGTATCTGGTGGATATAATCTCCCATCTGAAAGTCTTATGCCTCTCATAGCACCGGTATCGGGATTTCTGTATTTCAAACCACAGGCACCAGGAAACTGAGCTGACAGGGTAGACAGCAAAAGAGTTCCGTCGTCTTCGCTCGGGACTTCCATAGGCTCTTCGCCCTCCTCTTCTGCGACTTGAATATACTGACTCATTTCCCTTTTAAATTAGACACACTTTCAAAGCATTGAGAATCAAAAATGTCTCTAATTTTGGGGTAACCCACTGTGGTCCCGAACTGAAGGTGCGCGGCGTACCAAGATGGCGTCTTCTGTTGACAATTTAAGCGATAACAGCGCCATCTTTTAGTGACCTAAAAAATTTAATTTTCCTTTCGGAGTTGTCGTTCTTTTATCTTCAATCGGTCGCCGTTGGAATCTATATAGTTCTAAGATTCTTTTTGTGACTTTCTGATTCTTTTATAATGAATACTTGATTATTACTAATATTTACAATTTGTGTTCTACTTTTTTAGGTAATAAAAAAGATACTGTAATGCTTTGTTCTTGTAAATCAGTAAAAGGGGGAGGGCATGACAGATATCTTACTAAAAAAATCTCTTGGTTTTCATTCTGCTTTGAATTCTTTTTGGCGGATTTCAATTTTCTTGCTAATTAGTCTTTTTATTGAGGTATTAGCTTTATGCTATTTATTTAGTACTTGTTTTTGCTATTTCAAATGGCTAACTTGTATGCTACATTAGTCAGTGTCATAGCTTGTACGATTTTATTTGTGCTTTTGTATCTATGTTTTAGATCATTCTGACTTCCTTTTATACTTTTGTTTATATCGTGTTTATGTGTACATATGCTAAAGATTTTATAAAGTCCTGTTGTAATTACGAGCTAATTAATATAATAAAAATAAGGAGACTCAATGTAGAATCATCTGACTTGCCAATGAGACAGCTATACCCACAAGAGTTAAAAGGAAGACAGCTCTCTCACAAACAAAAAAAACATTATTAGAATATATAAGGTCATGTAATTTTTTGTTATATATAATTCATGTGCCGACTCTAAATATAAAAGGCGGCTTAGCTTCGGTTGAAATATTGCAACATACATCAAGGGTCGTCGTTGCTTTGGAATCCTATGTTGATTTTATCTCTGTGCGTTTATAAGACTAGGATAGCAATCATATAAAAAAGAGGCGAACAATATTAAAGGGAAACGTATAAGTAGAAAACAAACTGACAATGCCATGAGAAAAAACGAAAAACGATAAAAAACTAAACAACAGTACACAAAACATATAACATAGAAAACCGCTCAATTGATATAGCATATCTTTCTAATTTTAAAAACAATATATATCTTGCTTCGTTGTGAAAAGGGCACTCGAAAAAATAGTGAATACTATCATTAACAGGATGGTCACAGCTGCATGCGGGATTGGGTTTAATATTAACACGGTACAGATCTGCATTTAAAGAACTGCACATATTTCTCAAATGTGTATGAACTAGACATCATTGAGATTGGAGCCATCTCTGTGGGCCCCGCTGACCTCGAACGTTGACCTAGGAAGTTGTACAAACATTATGACACACCCTCTGGTGTTGGTTAATATACATGTCAAGTATAATTTATGAAATTATAACGGTTCTCTAGATATAGAGCGGACACAATTTGTTACGGACAGACGAACGGACAGCCTACGGTGACTGATCACTATAGGGCGACCCGCCACTAGGCGGGGCCCTAATAATATTAGGCTTTCTATCACCACAACTAAAATAGGAGGGTGGCTGTATCAATTTATATTTCATCTTTCGTTTGAATATATTTATATTTCGGGAAGTACGTATGTCGGGGTTTAAGCCATTCCATTCAATAGTAGTAGATGGAAAAAAAAATTTCTGGTTATATCTAGTCTATAACGGGGTACTACATAATTATTACTGTTTCGCAAATCATAATTAGATATTTGACGAACAAGTGGGGGCATTAAATCGCAGAGATAATCAGGGGCAGTCCCATTATGTAAAGAATAGAACATATTGAGCTTTCTGGACTTTCTTCTGTCCACCAGCAATTGCCAGCTTTTTTCGAAATATATAGCTTCCCGACTAGCAAACACGGGCAACCCAGTTACTAATCTTCCTGTTTCCAACAGAACATGTTCTAAATTGTCGGAATCTTGTTGAGTACAACCATCTCATAACTCACATGCATATTCCATAATTGGTCTATTAAATGTTAAGTATATACGAGCAAGATAATTTCTATTCAATACATATTTCAATTTTTTAAGAACATTTAATCTTGTGTTTGCACAATTTATTATGTTTTCTATATATGTATGGAATTTACCATCTATTTAGTATCAAAAGTAATTCCTTTAAGTGTTTATGACAGGAGACAAATTCTACTGCGTGATTTTGAAATTCTATTTCTATATCGTCTGGGGAAGTACTAAAGGAGAATATCATAGCCTTTGTCTTATTAGGATTAAAATTAATTAGCCCGGCAATCTTTAGACCATGTTGAGATTTGTTCTAAATCGCTGTTTAAGACAAAGTGTCAAAGTCAAAGTGTCCATCTTGACTGGAATAGTGAGAAAGTGTGCATGTTCTTTGTGTTCGTTTAAGATTTTCGGTTGGTACTTCGGCTAGATTGTGTATTCATTTACAAAATAAAATCAGTCTGTTTTGTCTTTGCCTATCTTTAATGGGTTCTAGTTTGATTTGGTAATAGGATTGAATTCATTCTACCTGGTTCGTATCTGTATTTCAATGTTATGAATCTTGTTACTCTTTCCTGAACTTTTTTCTAGTTTGTCCTATAGTTTGTCCTTTAAATATATTTGATAAGGGCCTTCTACGCTACTCGCACATTCTAAGACAGGTCGAATTAGTCCCTTATCGTCAGTAAATTTACCTCCATAGGGCATGCTGAAAGATTTCGCTTAAAGATACAAAGGAAATACCTTAAAATTTGATATATAATAAGTGTTTTTGCGGAATAACCGGTATTGGAACGGTGCTATAGGAGATGCTCTATGTTGCACTGTATATGAAAAGTGTTCGTCCACATGTATGGGGAAAAAGAAATGATTGATTTGAAATTTTGTCTGGAACTTTATAAAGGTGAATTGTTTCGTGTAAACAATTTGCCTGTTGCGTGCAGAAACTTTCTGTTTAACATGTACCGTGTGAACGGTTATCATATCTGCCGGGCACTAACTTCCTGTTTAACAGTTTTGGGAATTTTTTCAAATCTACTAAGCATGGAACTTTTCGTCGCATATATCTCAGCTTCGGAATAAAGCAACGATTTGATATTATACACCCACTCATGTATACTCCTACTCTGTATAATGCATTCACCTTGTCCGTCCATCCGTACGTGCACAACTTGTGTTGCATTTTACACAGCTTCAGTATAAAGTAATGATTTGATGTTTGGTCTAAGACTTTATTATGATGAGTTGTACCCTGTAAGCGATTTTCAAATAATTCCTGTTGCAGGATACTTTGAATAAATGACGAGTTGCGTAGAACGTGTAATAGATATAATGCTAGACAGTCACTCCCTGCTAGATGATATCGCGTTGAAACTGCTTGGTTTTCTTCTAAAAACTTTGTCTCAACACCCCACGCAATTATTTTCATAGAAACATTAATAGCTGTTTATATTTCATGATACTATAGCAGACCATTTAATAAAAGTTGCTGGAAAAGAGTAACGTTAGCCAAAAATCATAGGTGAGGGCCATCCTGCGTAAAAACATGCCTTTTTTTGGTTATTTTTGTCGTTCAGTTGTTGTCTCATTGACGTACATGACCCCTCATGTTCTCGTATTTGCACAAGTACGTTTTTGGTATTGATGCTCTCAAAAAATGTTGTTGACTTTCTGGACCTTTTGATCTGTACCGTACGTCAAACATATTGGAATTGCTATCGTTAGTTTATTAATTTCAACGAAATTCCATAATTGGGAATAGTGATACTTAGTATTAAATAAGCGTTCTCTGTACGTTAACGAACACGAGCGGATACTATCATTATAATTTAAAACGCTCGATATCGATATCAGAATGCACGACGGGCATATGCATATATATGAATCAAATGCACTTACTTGGGTCATGAATCCCACTATATTATACTACCCCACACTACGGAGTAGCGGGTGTATACAGTTCGTCCGTCCACCAGTCAGAGCGTCAGACATTTTCGTTTCTGGATGCTTACATAAATACCTAAAATCCGATTGCACATTTGTTTTCCTGTTTGCCGGTCAGTCAGGCAGTCAGTCAGTCCGTCCATCCATCATTCAGAGGGTCAGTCATTTTCGTACGTTTCCGGATGCTTACATAAATTCCTCAAATCCGATTGCAATATTACAAAGCGATATGGTCACATTTAATGTAAGAAAAATCTCTATCTATTATATGGTCATAAGGTCAAAAGTCTAGGTCATAGTTACCATAAATACTAGTAGACTGAAATTGTGCAGAAAAATTGTTTTCGGGTGCTAAATCATGAAAATTATACTGCATATGGTATTTCAACTTTACTTGGATATATGATCACATATGAATAGAGGAAGCTCCCTATTGATTTCGAGTTCAATACCTCAAAGATCAAGGTCATCGTTATTAACATAGACCGGAATTTGTGCAGAATGTCGGTTTCCGGATGCTAAATCATATACTTTATATGTGATTACAACCTTGCTTGGATATATGATCACATATGATTAGAGGAAGATCCTTATTGATCTGACTTTCAGGTCACTTTGTCCAAGGTCAAGGTCATAGTTACGATGATATACTACAATTTATACGGAAACAGGGTTTCCAGATGCCAAATCAAGTACTACATATTAGGTCACACATTATGTAAGGGAGATTGACCCTATTCATCTTGAACGTTTCACTTTGTTCAAGGTCAAGGTCAAAGTAACTAAACGATATACCGGAATTCTTGCAGAAAAGTGGTTTCAGGATGATTAATTAAATACTACATAATCTATTGCAACCTTACATAGATATATGGTCACATAAAATAAGTGGAAATCCCATTGATTTTGAAATCACTTGGTCTGAAATACGTTTGTGTAAGACACTATTACTGTCTTAAACCATAATAGATTGATTGATTGATTGTTGGTGGCTAAACCATAATAGAAAATAATCATACACCTTAGAGTAAATAGAAAAAAACACTATGTCATCAGGTCACTAAAATCGTTTCTTATTTAAATGAGGAAAAGGGGGAGGGGTTGAGGTACGTGAGCTTGCTAACTAAATATTCTTTGATGCCAAAATATT